TTGTTTTAATGAAAGTGTAAAGACTTTATTAGCAAAGAAGTATAAAACTTCTTGCAAACATCTTTTTTGTGTGTGATTAGAGGATCAGTGAAAAGAGTTTTTTTTCGTCAGTCATTATTCCCATTATCTTTAAATATATATATATATATATATGTATTATAATCTGTAACTACAATATATTAAATGAAATAAATTTATCTTCTTTTGTACCATATATTTTTCTAAACACAATACAAAACTTTCTTTGATATTTTCACTTGTATATATATCCCAGATTTGTACAAAATCTAATGTTATATTATGCATTTTCCAAATACTGTAATATAATGTGCAGTTATCATTAGAAATGCCTTCATCGAAGTTGATGTCCAAATATTGAGGGTGAATGAAATACGGCTTTCCACTTTTTGCAAAATTTTTTTAATTTTTTCTTGTTCAGTTAAATACGAATCCATTATATATGTTTTAATAGATACAGCAGCTGGTATTTTAGTTTTTTGTGAGATTAATTGGATAAATGTATAGAATGCTGGCTCTTTTATGATCATAAAAGGGTGTTGGTTTATAACAATTTATTGGATAAGGTTTTGTTTTATTTTTTCAGGTTCATATATCCACTATATAAAAAATAAATTTTAACATGGTTTTAAATTTAATAAATATATTAATACTGACTATTATAGTATTAAAAAAATTTTCACATAAAGGTTTATCAAAATATAAATTTATTTTTGTCAGGTGGTTTTTTTCTAGGTGTTTGAAAAGATTAGAAGTGCTGCTCCACTACAAGTATATTTGGTGCTGTAATAATTATAGGAAACTTTTTTATTTTCATTGAAATCGGTATCCTTTGTAAAATAATTCCACACTTTACTTCTATAATTTATTTTATTACTCGATGATGTCTCTAAAAAACTACTTGTAGTAACATTACTAGTATTACTCAATTCATAACTATCTAAACTAAAACTTTCATTATTTATTTCATTGGAATTATTAAAAGAACTATCATATTCCATTTTATTTTTGATGTAAATAATATCAGTAATATTGCAAGAAGAAAAATATCATAAAAAATATCACAAAATTTTAAAAAAATGTATAAAAATGTTAAAGAAATATAAAAAAAAATCCGTTTTTTTTTTAATTACCTTAAATATCTTTATTTAAATATAGTTAAACTATCAATTTTTATTTGAACCTGACTAGATTTTAAAACTTTAAATCTGATTGGTTTTAAAATTTAGAATTCGAATGGATCAGATTTCAAAATTTAGAATCCGATCAGATTGAATTTCAAAATTTGAAATCCATATCCAATTCAAATACAAATGGATCAAAAAATTTAAAATCTGATCTGATCTGATTTGATCAAATCCGTGAATTATTCGGTTTCAGATAAAAATTACAATTTCTACTGTGGCACAGTAATATCTCAAGATATAATGAAATGTAAAGCAAGATGTAAAGACCAAATGACTATAATGCATCAACAGTAGACCAACCTACAATGTCGAGAAGCTTAGCAAGGATATAGCAACCCCTATAATAGACAAGAAAATACCTATCCCAAACAAGAAACCCAGCAATAACAAAAAATTAAAGATCACCCACAATCCATCTCCAGCCCAACAAATATCTATCAGTACAAACAACAACCTTGAAAGAAACAAACAGGTAGACAAGGACACTACTTCAGAAAACCATGAACCCAACCAGGCAAGTAACATATGGAATGAACAAGTCAAACTCGAACAAAGTCAGGAAGAAATTCTCAATATAAATATACTGAAGGAAACCATTATTATTTCCATCCTATAGCCATAATAGATAATTCAGACATAGAGATGGACTGCAATGAAGAATCTGAAGATGACTTAGACACCTGGCAGGAAGTTAGCAAAAACAAAGGCAAAGGCAAGAAAACTTACATATGACTCTCAGAAACCAGATTCTAATTAAGATCTCCTTTAAACTATCAGACATAATATGGCAAGGAGTGAATCAAATTGGGTATCAAAGCTGCAAAGCCACTAGGATAGACAATTCATCAAAAAATTGCTTACATTATTAAGATACTCAACTTTATAAAATATCTCCTCCTTATGTAATATGAATATATTGATAGATAACATAAGCAACATAATCTTATCAGAAATTAACAATAATAGATTAATTTACAGTATATTCAAAAAATAATTCACAAACTAAATAAGAAAAACAGTATCAGGGCTTGGGACATTCCCCTGAATATCAGACTCATAGATATGCAACAAATATTTGTCAAATTCAGACAAATCACCAACATCAAAATAATGATTTAACAAATATGACAGACTGTAACAATTATATTCACATAATAGAAAGACAAGACCAAACTACTTTTTAAATGGAACATTCTCATTAAAGTCAATTTGATCAGAATTTTTGATACCTGCGGAGATCTAGATCAGATAAAAGACAAGGACAAGTATTTCCTCAAACTTATGAACCTTCTATCTACAGTAATACAACAGCCTTTTATCTGAGACATATCTGTTAGAAATTATGGACAAAGATATGCTATATCCTCTCCTCATATCATACAAACCTAGAAAATATACCATTTTTAGATTTTAAAATGAAGAAACACTTCATACAGCCCTGGAACAACAATTTAGCCTTGGAGAGACCACCATAAAAATAAAAACTATTCAAAACAAACTTTGCACCATATATGATAGTCCTCAATACCTCATCGTCAACTACACTATCAATAAACTTAGAGAACAATGAAAAGAATATAATCATAAACAAATAGAGAGATTTGAAAAACTCTACAATTACTTCAGACCAGCTGGCTCATTTAGAATCCATAAACTCATACAACTCCAATCAAAAAAACCTCCAATCTTCTCAAATATTATACATTGACTGTCAAACATAGAACTCAACAACAACATCAATCAAATCCTTATTATGATTCCAACTAGGACATAGTAAATATGCTCTTAACAATTCAAGCTAAGCTCAAATCAATCAAGGAAGCCATCCATAATTTCAATGAAAGAATTGATAATCTGAAGCAATACTGCTATAATAGTACAGAAGTAATAGAAGAAGACCATAACCAGAAAACTACTCTTATAAAATTGGACCCTTCATATCTAACAAATATAAATGATATTCAATAACAACAATAGTAGCTTCATAATTCGATCAGCAACATGGACTGAACTATAAATGCTCTAGTATCCACTATTGTGAACATTCTCTCAAAATCTTAACTACACCTTCCACTACAAGACAATAATCATGAGTAATACAATAAGCAACAATCAATCAAGTGATACTTTTTCTTTTCTGCAACCATATACCTTACACAATATAGTAAATAAGATAATAAAATAAAACCACTTATATCACCAGTCATATATACTATATATCAAGATATACTGTACATACAAAAAACTATTCTATCTTGAAAAAACAAGATAATGACATACAAAACTCCTTCTTTAGGCCCTTTTGGACCATTACTATTTACAACTGCCAAGGACTAAATAACTCTGTGAAAAGAATACTTTGAATGGAAACATGGAAAAAAGAAGCATAAAACATTATTATATCGATAAAGATAAAAAAAAAGATCAATGAAACTTAATACTGAAAATCTCAAGGATTCACTAACTGGTGGCATAGCAATGATAACATAGGTAACAGTATTAGCATTACTATTAGAAAGAACATCACTAACAAAGTTATTCACATGAAAAAAAATTGAGAAGACTTATTTATATCATCCTAGCCCTCCCAAACAAGAAATTCTTCAAAATTATAAGTACATACTCACTTGCTAAGTTAGGTAACAAAAGGAATAAAATACAAAAACAAATCATCTCTTGGATAAAACAATACAATCATGAAAACTGGTACATCATATTAGATAGGAATTTCAATTCATACCCTCTATCAAAAATATATAAAGTTTCTAGTAACAGAAAGATAATAAAGCATACCCTTGACCTCTTTTTTTAAAAATTAGAAGAACTCAGTTTGTTTGATACTTTCTAATATCACAAACCTTATGCTAAAAAATACACTTGATCTAAGATATTTATACAATCTACATAGCCAGCTGTATTGACATGATTTGGTGTAACTCCAGATCTTCCTGGTGTTCCATTGATTTATATATAACAGATAACAATAGTATTAGCATAGACCACAGGATCCAGGTCATATATATAAAAACCTGGGAGCTCAAGCTTTCTATGAAATACTTGCATCATCTACACAATAACACACAGTTTGCTTGGCAAGCCATATTAGAGGAACAATGGCTAGCATTCACAAATGAATTAGACTTATCCAAAAACTACTTGTTATCTGAATTATTATAGAATAAACTAGATATTGATCAGATATGAAATACTCTCTGTGATATAATTCTCAAAGCCACAAACAAACACATCCAAAAATTTAAGGAAAAATAAAAGAACTACAGAAAAAAGTCAGTCATCAACAAACCACATCTTCTTTTACAACTAAATAAATATAGAAGACAGTTGGTTCTCCACAAGAAAAAGTTAGATAAACACTGCCCAAGCAAAAGGAACACATTTCACAAAGCTATCTCTATCAGGATTCCACTGCCTGAATGGCTCCCTAATTTTTTTTTAACCTGCAATCATATCACAATAATATGTCTTTACTGAAAAATTAAAATAAATTTACAATATTTTACAGACTTTCATAAAGTAATTAACTCATCTTTATACAAAAGTACTTTAAGTCAGATTTTGGAAACAATATTTCATTTCCCTAATAGATTGATAATAACCTCTATTTACTAGGATTATTGCCAACAGTTTGTTGCTGTTAATTGCCTGAAAACCAATGAATTGCTAAGTTAAAAAAAAAAAGAAAACAATTCAAGACCCACCAAAAAAATCCAAAAATAAAAACAATCTCTTCTCAAAAAAAATCTGCCTAATTGAGATAGTCTTCTTGTTTCACTTGAACCTCAGAAGAAATCTTCTTTTTCACCATCTATAGCATTGGATGAGTCAATTCAACTGATCTTTTATTTAAGTGAGCACTGGATTGGGATATCTCAAGGAAAGTATTTAGACCTTTGCTTTTTTCTATTAAAGCTTTGTCATCACTTAAGAAATTTAGATAATAGACAGAAGTTTGCAATCCACATTATCTATCACATGGCCTTTTGGTATCATAGAAGTTTTTATTGAGGGACTTGAGCTTTTTTAAAAACAAACATTTCCAGAACCTTCTTTTCAATCACAAATGATGTCATCGAAACATGTGAATGTGACCAACAAAAGCTTGTTTACATTTCAAAAACTAATATATTTCATGTCAACCAATCATCTTTGATGAGGATTTGTGCTACCAAAAATTCAAGATCAAACTGAGGTAGGCAAAATTCCTCAGAAAACTATGAAAGCGATAGCTCTAAAAGATCCACAAGTGACTAGAAGGGAAAAATAAGTCCTTTTGTCATCAAAAACCTTTATATATCTTTTGCTTCAAAGGTTAAATAGGCCTTCAGATACTTCACAGTCAGTTCTTCTTCCTTTGAGAATTTTCTTGCCATTGGTATCAAAGGTGTTACTTGACTTTTCTTGATTACTTGAAGTCAAGTTTTTGAATGAAAAGGTTTTTAAACAAAAGAAAAAAGGTAGAAGCGACTCTTGAAGTCATACTTCAAGTTGTTTTAATGAAAATATTAAGACTTTATTAGCAAAGAAGTATAAAAACTTCTTGTGAACATATTTTTTGTATATGATTAGAGGATCAACAGAAAGAGTTGTATTTATTTTATCAAATGGCTTCCTAACTATAACACTGAGGATATCATATTGAAAATAAACATGTTCATAAAAATTAAAAGACTTGCCATAAAGAAATCAATTAAGAAAAAAACTATGACTGATATAAAAAAGTAGAAAGAACTTCATAATACTTGATTTGATCAAAACAAAAAAACAAATGATTCATTTCATACTAGGCCAATTTAGAAAAAGTATTATCACTAGTAAATTAATCAATAATATATCTACTGAAAAATGCCTCATTACTGATCTACTGGAAATAAAAAAGGAAGTTCAGTTGCACTTCAAAGAATAGACTAAACACATCAGCTGTATAAATACAGAGGAACCATTTGACAACAAGAATATAAATTCAAAAAAAATATTGATCTTACCTGATAAAAGAAGTTAATCTCCCTATAACACTTACTGAACTCATTGGATGTCTCAACAAAACTAGCAACAAATCTGCTTCGGGCCCTTTACAAATACTTTATATAGTATATAAATATATAAGCAAGGATTTTCTAGAACTCATTACAATTTTCTTTAACAAACTTATTGATAAAGAAATAGTCTGAAGGAATAGAAAAAGAGCACAATATATCCCATCTCCAAACCAAATAAATAGTACTATAATATTAATATCATATGTCCCATAACTCTTTTAGAATCAATCAAGAAATTGTTTATAAAGATTCTTACAAACAGGTTGACGAAAATTCTCACAAATAATCCCATCCTATTTCCACACAATTGGGCTATACTACTTGAACATAATATCAGAGAACCTATTACAATAATAAACCAAGTCCTAAAGAATATAAAAAATACATGCAAGCCTTGTTATATGCTCTTTCAGGATATGAGCAAAGTCTATAATACAATTAATATAGAAAGATTAGTAACCTTAATACATAGAATCAGAATTCTACCTCAAATTATCAACTTAATCAAAAACTACTTTTATAACTGATAAAATACTGTCATTATGTACTTCACAATACAGACCCATACTCCATTGAAGAAGGCATCAATCAAGACAATACAATATCCTCTCTATTATGGCATATATACTATGAATCCACTTATTTCTGTTATTAGTATTATAAAAGAATATCAGCTACAATGCCACAAGTCTATATAAAGCAATCTTGCCCTTCCAAATATAAACATATCAATTATGGGATATATAGATGATACCACTTTCATCATCCAGGACAAAAAAAAATCTTCTAGATATTATCAATATCAGTATCTCTTTCTATAACCTGAATGATATTATAGTCAATCCACACAAATCAGAATTGCTAATACTCAATACATCCCAAAACAACATCCATATCAATAATTTCGAAATAATATCAGCAGATCCAACAATAGCTATCAAAGTTTTAGATGTATGACATGAAGTCAAAGCTAACAAGAAGAACCAACAAAATCTGCTTATGTCCAAGACAACCTCTCTGTATAATACACTTACCAGAAAACAAATTACAGATAAAATATACTGATATATTATAAACTATATAATTTTTTCCACTATAAAATATCTCTTACAAGGCCTAGTTCTCTCATAAGAAGAATGTGCTAAGATTGACAAAAAAATCAAATACAGCTTTAGACAATAAGTTAGTTTGTTCTGCTTAGCATCCAACATAATAATTCATCTCAACAATCAATATGTCATTATGGAAATACAAACAAGACAGTCACAAAAACATGCTAGTGACATATAACAATTGTTTTTTAACTCAAATATAGTTAGTAACATCATACATAGCAGTACCCATGAACTTCAATAGCTCACTTTACAAAAAAATGACATCTTAAATACCTGCCCACACATTTTCAAAAGCAAGACCAATTTTTTACAAGATTGCCTATAGAACATTCAGAGACACAATATGAATATCAACAGATTCACCATAGAGAGCAATAATTTCCAGAACCTATACCTTATAGAAAATGATTTTTTATAATTGAAATTGACTTACTATTTCTTATAAGAGAATACAATGTATACATTGAAAACAACATAAAAAAAATCAAGGAACTAAGGCTTATTAGCAATCTCAATATAATAGCAGCATATTACTAAACTCCTATTATCTGATCTAAAACAGATAAACAGAATCCCTTTACCACTTACTTTTTTCTCGAAGCTAACAAATTGATAAAGCACTATAATAACAACAATGTGATTGGTCCTCAAGGTCAGTTAATAAATATCACTCTCAGTAATAGTATTTTCATCTTCCATTACAAAAACTAAATAGAAATCACTACAATCATCTGAAAGGCCTTCAAGTATATAAGACAAATGCAATTAATATATCAATGAATTATACTAGACAGAAATAATGATCTCTTTAAACAATAGATAGAAGACATAGACTAAAAGAAAACAAATCAGAGGCTCTACCTATTGGCCATCAATTTCAATAAAACAGACTAATAGAATCACTTACAAAGAAGCTTTGCACTTAAACTATAGAACAAAAAACTATCTACAATGGATAAGCTTCATACTAGAAAAACAGACAAATACAAATCTGATATACTGTATTGTCATAGGCTAACCTGGCAAGTCCATCACTAATCCGTAGTGCCTCACATAACCCAGACATCTCACAAATACTCACAAAGAAGAGAATGCCTCCTATAAAGAACACTTAGGGAAGGCAGAAGTATGGTGATTGACTTGACCAAAGGTAAGTGTTTCTTTATTGTGTTTTGTTTTCTTGAGATATCACTAACTCTTATCTCTATTCTCAATGAGGGCTATTTTTCCTAACTCATTCAGCTCTGCCTGTTCAGTATATATTGGTAAGCTATTTATATTTTTTTAACTAACAATGGGCTATCTACTTTATAATCAGCTATACTAACCCTAAACTTTGCTAAACTTTCCATACTTTTTTAGATACACTTAGTTTCCTTATCAGTACCTATGCCTTATCTATAGTTTCTTACCTCGTGACACTCAATCTTTCATGCCAGACTTTTAGATTTTTGGACTCTAAACCATTATGCATAAATCGCATCACCCATATGACCCATAACATTTTCCAGCACTTATCTTATACATCCTCGCATAAGTCAATTTAGAGGTGAGGCTTCGTAATATGGCTTAAGAATTTGGACGTTGAAGGAAGCAGTTAATAGCCATCCATCCAAGTTGCGCAACCGATATACATTGTTAGGAAGACACTTGTGTATATAGAATGGACCTTGCCATTTTGATCCAAATTTGTTGCTCTGATAATGCTCAAGTGCTACTCAATACATCAATATCTTATTCCCAATATTAATCATGACATGTTTCTTATGTTTCAAATCATGATACGCTTTTTGTCAAGCTTGGGCTTGTTGCATGTTATGGATGGCAATCTCACAAGTCTAGGTAAGTGCTCTATCAATTTGAAAATCCTTTGAAGAATCATCCCCTCTAACAACTCGTTAGTCAAACTAGGATGATACAGTTGGTGGGCTTCACGTCTATAAACTAAATAAAATGGCATTAACTTTATGGAAGTATGCTTTACAGTTCAATAAGCTAAGAGAATGGATGGAACTAGTAAGTCCCAGTCGGTCACGTGCTCAACCAGCTTGGCTATTGATTCATACAAGGTTCAGTTAAACTGTTCCACGAGTCCATTGATCTTTGGGTGATACAGCGTTAACAAAAGATGGGTAATCTTCATTCTTTTTAATAATGCTTCTACTATGCTGTTTCAAAAATGAGTCCCTTTGTCTAACATGATAATTTGCGAGCATCCATGATAGCAAACGATTTTGTGATACAGGAAATCAGCTACCATTG